GTGGTTAAGGCCTGGGGAGAATCAATTCCCCCTCAGGATGCGAGCAGCACAGCGCCCTGACTGAATGACAGCGGCCTGAGTTCTCGGCGCGGCCGATGCCAAAGGGGAGAAATAAACTGGAGAAGGAGGCGGAGAGGAGGGAGGCGATGGTGGGCGGGGAGGAGCGCGGAACCCTCTCCAACACACCCCAATGACCAGATTCATCATAGCACGAAACTTCGCAAGTTACACCCACTCCCGCTGCCAGAAGCCGGGGGAAGGCAGCTGCTTCCTCATTTCTGTTACTGAAAGTTGGAGATGTGAAGCAAGACCGCAGAAGCATGTGTGCCTCGCGGAGCAGTGGTGAGCCCTGATTTACAATCCATTCGTTCCACCGGCGAATTCCTTTGTGTTGGGTGTTGGAGGCGGGCAGCCTTAGGTGGCTCTGGACGGGCAGAGGCGGGATGGGAGCCCCGGGCTCCGCGGCTGCGACGGGGCGGGGACCTGTGCTCCGGAGCCCCCTGCCCCGGATCAGCGATCCGCTCTCCACCGCGCGGGGGACGCAGCCCATGTGGGTTCTGGCTCCCGGGTAAAGGGGTTCGGGCTTTGAAAGGGCTTCACACCCCCTGCCCCAGCCCCCCGGGCTTCTGTAACCAAGGATTGTAGGAGACACGGGGCGGGAGGGAGATGTGGGATCGTGTTACCCACCAAGGATGCGTCCTGCCGCTGGCCGTCCTGCTGCGCGCTCCGTAATTACAGGTTAACGTCCCTGAAAACGAACCCCGTGAAAGTCTTGGGATTCAAGGGAGAGGAACTTCCGAAGGAATGATCTGAAGCTGGGCGCCGGCAGACCCCTGGCTGGGAGTTCTGGAGGGAGGCATCGGAAGTCGCTGGTCTCTCAGTAATTTTTTTGTGTCTGATGATTAAGGCAGTTCAGCGCAAGGCTTCCTGGCTATGGAGGTGTGAGTTACGCGGACCTTTTTGGAAAATGTCTGTCTGTGGAAGCTGGCTTGTCTTCAGATCGATTGCCCAAGTCAATTTCGGGCGGGGTGGGGAGAGGAAGTTTGGGTGGAGGGTGGCCCTGTGGTTGGGATCATTGCGAATGACACTTAAGTCCCAGCAAAAGAGGAACGTGGCCGAAGGTAAAGTTTCTCACACACAGTCTTGAGGCTCTGTTTTGAGCCCCTCAAAGGCGCTTTCATTTGGCCGGTGTGGTATTTGTTCACTGTGTGGGGCTCAGAAGGAGGCTTTTGGGTTAACTTTTACCTGTGTCACCTATTTCATAGCTGATCAACAGGTTAGTACAGAGCAGCTCCGTGTGTGTGTGTGTGTGTGTGTGTGTGTGTGAGTGTGCGAGTGTGTGTGAGTG